AAAAAAAAAAAAAAACACAGGCAAAACTCTCTTGAATATAAACAAGAACAACTTCTTCATGAACATATCTCCACAGGCAAGGGAAACAAAAGCAAAAATGAGTAAGTGAGACTATATCAAACTAAAAAGCTTCTGTACAGCAAAGGACACCATCAGTAGAACAAAAAAGGCATCCTACAGTATGGGAGAATATATTCATAAATGACATATCCGGTAAGGGGTTGACATCCAAAATATACAAAGAGCTCATGCACCTCAACAAACAAAAAGTAAATAACCCAATTATAAAATGGGCAGAAGATCTGAACACACTTCTCCAAAGAAATTCAGATGGCCAACAGGCACATGAAAAGATGCTCCACATCGTTAATCATCAGAGAAATGCAAATTACAACCACAATGAGATATTGTCTCACACCAGTTAGGCTAGCCAACATCCAAAAGACAGACAACAACAAATGTTGGCGAGGACATGGAGAAAGGGGAACCCTCCCACACTGCTGGTGGGAATGTAAATTAGTTCAACCATCGTGGAAAGCAGTATGGAGGTTCCTCAAAAGACTCAAAATAGAAATACCATTTGACTCAGGAATTCCACTTCTAGGAATTAACCCTAAGAATGCAAGAGCCCAGTTTCAAAGAGACATATGCACCCCTATGTTTATTACGGCACTATTTACAATAGCCAAGACATTGAGGCAACCTAAGTATCCATCAGTAGCTGAATGGATAAAGAAGATGTAGTACTTACACACAATTGAGTATCATTCAGCCATAAGAAGAAAACATATCCTACCATTTGCAACAACATGGATGGAGCTAGAGGGTATTATGCTCAGTGAAATAAGCCAGGCAGAGAAAGACAAGTATCAAATGATTTCACTCCTCTGTGGAGTATAAGAACAAAGAAAAAACTGAAGGAACAAAAGCAGCAGACTCAAACAACCCAAGAATGGACTAACAGTTACCAAAGGGAAAGGGACTGGGGAGGATGAGTGGGAAGGGAAGGAAAGGATAAGGGGAATAAGGGGCATTACTATTAGCACACATAATGTAGTAAGGGTACACGGGGAAGGCAGTATAGCACAGAGAAGACAAGTAATGATTCTATAGCATCTTACTACACTGATGGACAGTGACTGTAATGGGATATGCGGTGGGGACTTGATAATGGGGAGAATCTAGTAACGACAATGTTGTTCATGTAATTGTATATTAATGATACCAAAAAAAAAAAAAAAGTCAAGTGTTAAATTTCTAACCTTCAATGTAGAGATAAGGCTTTTAGGAGGTAATTGGGATTAAATGAAGTCATTAGAGTGGGTCCTGATCTGGAAAGGGATTGGTGGTTTCCTAAGAGGAGG